CCTCAAGCCCGTGTTCTCGCTAAATTACACAAGGAAAAAGCAAATAACTATTTCAGCCAGTTCCGGAGTGCATCTCCCCTGAACCCACCACTGCTTGTCTTGTATGTAGCGTGAGTCCGTAAGGCCCGGCGCCCTTGCCTGCCCTTGGAGGCTGGGCTGGGTCTCTTGTGCCGCAGCCTTGCGTGTCCGCTGTGCGTGCAAGGCCCCCGTGGTGCGGGTGCTGCGGGACCCCTCCTCCTCTCCTCCGGCCTGGCTTCGCGGTGGTCACTGTCCCCTTTGTGTAGAGAGCTGAGCTGAGCTTTTCCAGCCCCAAGCCTTCCACCTTTTCATCCGGTCCCTTTCTCCTGGTTAGCTTGCTTACTGACTTTTTTGTTTTTTGTTTTTTTAAATTTTTTTTTCAACGTTTATTTATTTTTGGGACAGAGAGAGACAGAGCATGAAAGGGGGAGGGGCAGAGAGAGAGGGAGACACAGAATCGGAAACGGGCTCCAGGCTCTGAGCCATCAGCCCAGAGCCTGACGCGGGGCTCGAACTCACGGACCGCGGGATCGTGACCTGGCTGAAGTCGGACGCTCAACCGACTGCGCCACCCAGGCGCCCCTTGCTTACTGACGTTTTGACACAAGCACCACCTGCTTGGTTTGGGTGGCTTGTCGCGGGTACCTTCGCTGCTCCTTCATTCTTAGGCTGTTGGACACATTTTATTTGAAGGTGCATCAAATTGCATATACTTAGTACTTTTATTCATTTATGAACTAAAGGAAGTGTTAGTCCTTTAATAGGAAGGTTTATCCCTTTGACACGTTGACACAAAAGATTTGGCCTCACTCCTGCACAAATATATTTATACTGCTGCCATACAGGATGACGTCTGCGGGCGTGTGTGTGCGTGTGCGTGCATGTGCACACACACACACACACACACACACACACACACACCCCTTAGCACTGGCTGCTGCATAGCACATGCAGTGTTTCACGTGGCTCCCCAGTAAAGGCTGAAACCATTCTGAATGTTGGGGAAGACCTGAATTGTTTTGGTGTCCTTCACCCCATATCTGATCCCGTGACCAGCATTTGCTTGTTGTGGATGCTCGGGAGGTTGGCTGACATCACTCTGAATGGAAGGCCCTCCTGAGTCTGCCCCCCTCTCCCTAGGTGTGGCTTGGAGCAGTGGTGTATTCTCAGAGACCCCCGTGGACCCCCGGGCCCTGGCGCGCCACCTGCTGCCCTGTGCACAGCTTTGGACTCTCCTGGTGGCTCCAGGATTTCTTTGGTTCAGTTCATCTGGAACACTGACACTCCCATTTATTTTTCCTAAAACACCACGTTATTTCAAATCTCCCACGCCCACTCGGAAACGTAATGTGATTCGGAATTTTGCTTGTACCAATTTAAGCTGCTTTCATGCCTTTCCAGATTTTCTGTTCTTAGGACCCAAGGCCACACTTCGTTTATCCTTGTGCACATGGCCGTGGGTGCAGTGCCGGCGGATTCTCAGGGCACTCGGGTGGATTTCCGCCTTTGTTCCACCTAAAGTCCTGCCTGTGCCCTCCGAGCCCGCGTCCTGCCTTCGCTGCTGGGGTAGGGCCTCCTGTACACCCCTGTCCGTTCCGTTTTGGCCCAGGGCCTGTCTTTCCTATCAGACCTTGTCTGGCTGTTGAGACCGGTGGTTGTCTGCTCCAGGGATGCAACTCACCTGTTTTCATGTGTTAGTGCGGTTCCCACAGCCATCTTGCACATACCTGGCATTTTACAGGTACTGTTACTGAGGCTTGGAGAACTCAAGTTGTCGTTTGTCCAAGATGATGGAAACTTGAAAATTAAGAATCAGTACAACTCACACGTCGCCTTAAACCTGTACAGTTCAGGTACCCACGCGTCTTCCGGGCGGAACATGGAAAGCAGGTGCAGGAGAACTTGGGCCGTGCAGTGGGCAGGAGGTGATTACTGACATACGGGAAGCGAAAGGAAAAAGGAACCCAGGGTCACTCGCCAGCTCTGTCCTGCTGTTCACTCGTGTGGAGAAATGGCTTCCTCATGGAGAAACCATAAACTTGCTCTGTGTTGTGTCGCAGGGAGAGGACGGTGTGTCGTATGCCTGCACTTAAAGGCTTTTGTGGAAAGGCAAAGGCTGGATGTTCGATCGGCAACAGATACAGTCGTCTGAAGCCTGGGAAGAGGTCCAGGTCCTGACGGAGGCCCGAGCGGCACCGTCACTGCGTGGCATTGGGTGAATTCAGCCAGTGAGGCTTGAACATCCCCGGCCACCCTCAGTATGTCACAGAGTGTAAAGATGTCACAAGATGAAGAACGTTGGGGGAGATTCAGATAAAACCACATCTGTCCGTTTCCTTTCGGTGACAATTTACAGGAAAGGGGTTTGATGACTTTTGATTAAAACTTCTCATTAAAATGACTTCTGGGGCGCCTGGGTGGCTCCGTCGGTTGAGCAGCCGACTTCGGCTCAGGTCATGATCTCGCGGTCCGTGAGTTCGAGCCCCGCGTCGGGCTCTGTGCTGACAGCTCAGAGCCTGGAGCCTGTTTTAGATTCTGTGTCTCCCTCTCTCTGACCCTCCCCCATTCATGCTCTGTCTCTCTCTGTCTCAAAAAGAAATAAACGTTAAAAAACATTTAAAAAAAATATAAAATGACTTTTCTTTTGCTCAGATTAAGATCTAAGACTAAGCCTCGGTCAGGCAGGAGGGCACGTGAGCTGGTGCAGGTGGATTGTCCCCTGAGCAGCCGCAGGCGCCGGGCCCAGCGTGCCAGCTGAGATGCGCCAGGCAGGTGGGGCCTCAAGGGCATCGAATCATTGCGTATTTTAGGAAAATACACCTCACCTTTACCCGGGGCTCGGGTCGCCTCCTCAGACATTGTGTAGAGGAAGGGAGGCCACGGTGGGGTGGGGGGGGGG